CCTTCATCCTATCACTCCTGAGTTTGGCCAAGGAATCCTGGGATAAGCCCTCTACTTCCCAGCAGGTACCTCGGTGCATTGAGAACCTATACAAGACGCATGGTGCGGGTACTGAATTCCTTGCCAAGCATCCTCCACCCAGTTCTCTGGTGGTAGATGTCACTCAGTCTCTGAGCCGGAGGAAGTCATCATCACCACCTTTGCCCTTAGAGTGGCCAACTATCTGGCGGCCATGGGGGCCTCCCACAGGCACCTATGGAACGCAGTCCTTCCTGCTCTCAATGCCGCGCCAGACGACATGAGGAGCACCTGCCTCGCATACCACCAAGAGGCCATATCCTTGGCCTGCCAGGAAAGGATTGCAGCCAGGCACATAGTGGACGTTTCATTGAAAGAGCTGGCCATGGCGGTCGCTCTTTGCTGACATGCATGGCTCCGGTCTGCCCCAATTATGGAGGATGTTAAGAATAGGATTGAGGATCTCCCCTTTGATGGTTTGGGGCTCTTCGATCCCAAAACTGACGGGATCCTCAAGAGCTTACTGAAGCATAGGAAGACGGCCAGATCCATCTTGGTCCAGGGGGCGTCTCGAGGCTCTTGGCATTGTTCATTCTCGTATAGGCCATATTTCAACTGTTCAAGGTCCCAGCAATCAACCTTCCAAGGTCAGTCCCGCCAGCAAGCCGGTAGACAGAGGCAGCGTCAACAATCCCGCAGCCAGGACCGCAAGACCAAGCAGTCTGTTTAGCCCTATGCAGCCACCAGCACCGGTTATTCATATGGTTAGACTAGCCCAATTTTTTGATGTTTGGAAGTCTGTCACCTCTGATTCTTGGGTTCTTACCATCATTGCCACCAGTTATGCGATTGAGTTTAACTCTACACCTTGTCCAGGTTTTTTCAGAAATACAGAAGTTTCACCTGTCTTACGTGAGGAAGTAGACAAGCTGTTCTCTAAGGATGCCATCATCTTGGTGGAAAATCCTGTTATTTCAAGTAGATTTTTTCATGCTACTTTATTATATCCAAGAAGGATGGTGGACTCCGGCCTATTCTTGATCTCAGACCCTTGAATTTCTACATTACACCTCGGCGTTTTCGTATGGTCTCCCTTGATGGCACTATCCAGATGCTCAGGCAGGGAAATTGGTTTGTGCTCATTGATCTCAAGGATGCTTATTTTCACATCAGCATCTGTCCTGAATAGCATCACTTTCTTAACTTCTCCCTGGATGGTATAATTTATTAATTCAAGGCTCTCCCGTTTGGACTGTCCACATCGCATAGGGTGTTTACAAAATGTTTGGCTCTGGTGGCACCTTACCTTCGTTTACAGGGCATCACTGTCTTCCCTTACCTTGATGATTGGTTGCTGGTGGCGTTGTCTCCTGAGACACTTTCGCGACATTTACCTTTACCTTGTCTCTCCTGTCTGAACTTGGTCTTCAACCACGAGAAATCGATGTTGACTCCCACCCAAAAGTTGACCTATATTGGAGGAGTTCTGGATGCAGTCTCAGGCCATGCCTTTATCCCGGAGAGTCGCATTCTGAAAATACAAGAGCTGCTTCCTCATTTTACTCCAGGGGCAAAGGTCCAAGCTCTGCTGGTTCAGCTTCTGCTAGGCCTGATGGCCTCCACCACTGTGGTCATTCAGCATGCCAGGTTGAAGATACGATCCCTTCAAGTGTGGTACCTTGCCTCGTTCAACCCGCTAACCGACCCACCCTCCAAGACTCTTACGGTTTCGCCAGAACTTGCAGAGCAACTAACTTGGTGGAAGATACGATCCCTTCAAGTGTGGTACCTCGTTCAACCCACTAACCGACCCACCCTCCAAGACTCTTACAGTTTCACCAGAACTTGCAGAGCAACTAACTTGGTAGTCCCTCCACTCGAATCTCCTTATGGGCAGACCCTTCAGCCCTCTTCAGCCGTCAGTTCATCTCACCACAGATGCCAGTACGACTAGTTGGGGTGCACACGTCCAGGATCTGATGGCAAATGGTCACTGGACGCTAGAGGACTCCTGTCTTCATATCAACCTTATGGAACTCCTAGCTGTCTTCAAGGCTCTTTGAGCTTTCAAGCGTCTTCTTATGGGGAGAGCAGTGCAGCTGCCAACCGACAACACCACTGTGGTGTACTACCTCAACAAACAAGGGGGTACACATTCCCAACAACTTCTGTATCTTACAATCCAGGTCTGGAAGTCATGCTACGAGTGCCACATCTTTCTGATTGCAGTACATGTGGCTTCCACTGACAACGTCCTTGCGGATCATCTAAGTCGGCCGCAGAGCAGTTCTCACGAGTGGTCTCTGGACGATGCAGTCTTTCATTCCCTCTGCCAGAGATGGGGCACTCCTTGCCCTGATGTGTTTGCAACTGTCACCAACAGGAAGTGCGACCAGTACTGCTCCCAGGCAGGAGCGGGGAGCAATTCAGAGGGGGATGCATTCATGGTTCCCTGGACAGAAGGGTTGCTGTACATGTTTCCTCCCATTCCTGTGGTCCAGAAGGCAATCATCAAGATCCTACAAGATTAGGCGAACGTCATCCTCGTCGCTCTCTGGTGGCTTCGCTAACCCTGGTTTGCCCCTCTACATCAGATGGCCGTCAGTCACGTTCGGCTCCCAAACCTACCTCATCTGCTCTCCCTCCACAACGGCAGAATACTCCATCTGGATCTGGTTTCCCTGTATCTCACAGCCTGGAGACTGGACCTTCAATAGGAGGTCAATACCTTAGTCGGACACGTAGACCGTCCACTTTGGCTACTTACGCACGAAAATGGAAAGTCTTCTGTGACTTTGCTACTGGTCATAACTTACCTGTTTGTCCTACCTCTTTGGACACCCTTTTGAGGTTTCTTCTTATCCTCTTTCAGCGTCACACTCTATGTTCAGAGTATATATCTCTGAGATTGTTGCCCATCAGCCTCCTCTTTCTGATGCGACCAAGTTGTTTCAGCACCCAGCACTAAAGCAGTTCCTTAAAGGTCTCCTCAATATGCGCCCGGCCTACAAACCACTCACACCTCAATGGTCTCTTCAGGTTGTCTTGTAGAAGCTGATGTCTCCACCTTTTGAACCTTTGGCTTCCACCTCCTTGAGACTACTTACCTTCAAAACAGCCTTTCTCCTCACTGTCACTTCAGCAAGGCGTGCAAGTGAATTTACAGCCCTAAGAGTGGACCCACCTTTTATACAGTTTCATCCTGACAAAGTCACTCTATTCCCAGATGTCTCCTTTCTTCCAAAGGTGGCGACATCTTTCCATCTCAATCAGCCAGTGGTCCTTCCTACCTTTTTTCCTAATCCTACAACTAACTTGGAAAAATCGCTGCACTCCCTGGATGTCAAAAGAGCCCTGGCCTACTATATTTCCAGGACGGCATCTTTTCTTTCTTCCCAGAGACTATTTGTGTCATTCCTAGGACACTCTAAAGGTTTGTTTCACCTCAAACCTTCTCCAGACAGGTGGTTGCAACAATCAAGCTGGTGTATGAGATTGCTCACAAACCTTTGCCTTCCACTATTCGAGCCCACTTGACCAGAGCGGTTGTTTCCTCCACAGCTTTCCTTTGTGGAGCTGACCTGACTGATGTCTGCAAGGCTGCGACGTAGTCTATGCCATTCACCTTTGCAGCACACTATTGCCTCGATATTCAGGCTGAGGCTGCCATGGGAAGAGCTGTATTGGCTTTTGTCATGTCGTGACGCCCACCTCCAGGTAAGTCAGCTTGCTAGTCACCCATTAGTGTGCATTCACAGAGACCACAAAGGAGAAAAGGAAGTTACTTACTTGTAACTCTGGTTCTTTGAGTGGTACTCTGTGAATTCACACTCCCCGCCCTCCTCCCCGCTGTCTGTCATGTATGCCTTTTGGTATGCTATACAGCGGCGGACAGTTCTATGGAACTGAGGCACCCAATGCTGGAGACAGGATATAGCCTAGATGGGAGGTCCCAGCACCAGCTGCTAGAGCTCTAGAAACTTCCGAGGGTGCTCTGCTTAGGCACAGATTAACCCATTAGTGTGAATTCACAGAGTACCGCTCGAAGAAGCAGAGTTATAGGTAGGTATCTTCTTTTTCCATTCATGTGTCTGGAATTAGAATGATGCCCAGAGAGTTTTCCCCATAGAATGCTCTTACCCCTTTCTTGGATCGTTGTGTGGAACCTTCCCTGGTTAAAACTCTTGGCAACAGCCTTACATAGATTTAAAAGACTTCATGGCACACCTGCCAGTTTCTTTCCCTACCAGCCTGTGAACTGCAGTGTTTTTGTTAATATGAGGCAGCTCATCTGGTTAACAGTTGCTTTGTTTTTGCTTAATTAGTTCATGTGAAAGCAGCAGTCCACTTCTGTATCGACTGATTAAGCAGAATGCACTCTGCAGTCCATTTTAGAACATAATTAGTGTGTGAGATGTACTTTAATGCCTCATGAACAAATGTGCTTTATAAATGTCAGTGGCTTAGTGTTGCTTACATTAATATAACTAGATGTAAGTGAAAATTTTCATTTTCTTTCTTTTTTTTCTCCCAAGAATTTCTTCTACCTTTTGGCTTTATACTGGGAATTAAAAAACCAGTTTGGGTTTTGGATTTTAAAAGGAATCAAAATAAAGTACCGGGGGCAAGATATTACTATAGTCATGACATCATCTGCAAGTTGTTAAAAACTATGCTGTCACTGAGTACTGTCCTTTTCCACTAAATATATTGCAAGAGAATTTAAATTTTATCATAGTTAAAAGGTATCTTGAGTATGGTGTTTTATGAATATTTTTAGGCAGTGCCAATGTACCATCTCATCTGTCAACAAAAAAATAAAATAGTGACATATCTGCAACAAATGATAGCACATTTTCAAACAAAAATAGCCTTTGTAACAAAGAAAAGAACAAAAATGTTTCACTTCCTAGGTATATGTTCAATGTTTCTGCATTCACTATTATTGTCCTTTTATTTTATTTCTTTTCCCTCTTTTCCAGACAGTTGAAGAGATTGAAGGTGTGTTAGGGCGGGACCTGTATCCAAATCTAGCTGAAGAGAGGTCTCGATGGGAGAAGGAATTGGCAGGCTTAAGGGAAGAAAATGAGAGCCTGACAGCCATGTTGTGCAGCAAGGAAGAAGAGCTAAACAGAACCAAGGCCACCATGAACGCAATCCGAGAAGAACGAGACAGATTACGCAGAAGGGTGAGGCTGCCAGCTCCTTGAGATAACTTTTGGTTAACTTTTAGTTCTATAGAAAATATGTTTGTCAAAATAATGAGTAGCTGCAAGTGAGTAGCTCCATTTCCCATACCGTTGCCATTCTTTATTCACTGTTTTCCTGACCCCTTACAATGGCAGCTCCATTTCCCATACCGTTGCCATTCTTGCTTTATTCAATGTTTTCCTGACCCCTTACAATGGTTTCTTTCTTCAACCTTCTCCCTCATCCCATTAATAGGTGCACCAAGTTATTTTCTTAGTTACCTAGCTCTGTTTTCTCACATACAAAACTTTCTAACTCAAAAGGCTTACACTTCTCGTACAGCTGAGATACTGACTTTGTGGATATTTTAAATGTGATGTGCTAAACTAAAGCATCTAAAGTACAGCAGATAGCATGGGAACTAATGCAGATGCATGTCAGGCAATAAAACAGATACCTCTCTCAGATATATTGTAATATGACATTCCCCCCCCTCCCCACTCTTGAACAAAAGAAGCCTTTGAAATTTTGTGTGAATTCAGTTTGTGACAGAGTTAGGGGAAGAGCCTTTTTCTTTGTTTATTTTTAATTGAGAACAGCTTTATTGAACTAAATAATTTAATGGTTTGCATCTATCCTCTTATCTGGTTCTGGTTCATCTATATAGGCTCTGAATTCATAGAAATAACTGATACAAAAGTGACAAGGTTGATTGCTAAAGATCTGTAGTTATGTCTAGGATGAATTAACAGGTGAAAGAGAATGTCTGTGACTTCGTACACAGATTTTTGATTTCATACAGAGAGGTACATGTTGTCTGTTATTGAAGATTTGTTTTGCATTTAAGTGAAGAAGGGGGGACTAAATTTTGGCATATTTTGATGACATTCTTTTTTGTCTGCTCTTATTTGGGTATTTTTCTTTGTTCCATTATACTTTATCATTTGCCATTTTCATATTTCTGCTATTCTGCTACATAGTCTCACTCAGCAAACTTCAGTCCAGCACAGTCTAATATGTCCTAAATGAAACAGACTGCATGTGTAATTTGCTGCCTTGTATAATTAGATCACCAGAGCTGAAACCTTTTTAAAATGCACAGAAGAATTGCATGAATGTGTATAGCAGCCTGTTTGTCCCCACGGCAACAACAGGTGCATTCAAAGAGAGTCCAACATCTGCATCACCCATCAGTGCAAAAAAAACAAAAACAACTGGAAACAGAAAGCTTTCTGTTGCATCTTTCTGTCCTGCTGAACTTCAGGTGTTCAATTGGACCTGTATTCCTTAATTTCAAACAAGGTGGAGGATTGCTTCTTCAATAATCCCCTACTTTATTCGTAGAGTGCTTTCCCCGTAATCTCTCCTGAGTGTCTGTAGCTAGATTGTGGAGGAAAAAGTTACTTCCCTTTTTTTGAACATTGCTATTTTGGCCTGTAGAGTCAAGAGGCTGTTTCTACCTCATTTACAGTGGGATTTCCATTGTATTTCATTCTGTGTTACCTATACTGCTTAAACACCGCATATGCTCCCACACTTGCCCTGATGGCTCTGTTCCCCCTTAGACTTCCAGTTGTTGTAGCATTTGGCACCTGATTTTCTTCAAGCCAAAATACAGTAGATGTTGGAGTCATTCTGTGTTTCAGACAAGACAAAAGGTTAACAAGCAGCACCTTGTGTTGCATTCCAAGATCGAAATAGGTATTTGTGGTAACTCCCTGCTTTCTTCCTAAGCTGTGTATTGTAAGATTTATTTGAAAGGGCTTTAATCTGTGCTTTCATGATGGTGCTATTCCCCCCCCCTTAAATAATGTTTTGTGCGATAGGTTTTGGGCTGTAACTTCAAACTGATTGTTCATGGCATTAAAGATTATGTACTACCTCATGTCTGATCTGTTGATCGTAATAAAGGATTTTTAAAATCTTGGATTGGTCTACCCAGAAAAGAGATACATGAACGGGGGACCCCTGGTTTTGCTGAGATTTGTACAATCAAATGGCCTTTTGGGCCATATATTCGGACCACGTAAGGTTTATTTATGAGAGTGACGCATACAGAAGCATTTTTCTGAGGTTCAGGTTGAGCTCTGCACTATTTCTTAGTCACTTGCTGGTTCTCTTTTCTTTTATCCTGGACTCCAGCTGCTGATCTTATTAAGGATAAATTAGCCTACACATATAAGCCTATCTTCCCATTGTCTATCAGTGACCTGCTGTTAGGTGCCCTAAACATGATCTCATAATGAATTAACTTGCAAGAACAGCAGCCTACGATGTCAAGAAAACAGGAGCAGTAGGAAAATGAGGAAGCCAACTCTGAAAATGCATACTTAAAATGATTTAAAATCTGATTTTTAAGATATCAAATGCTGCATTTTCTTTTTGTTGAGGAGGACAGAAAGAGGAATGAACTTCTGCAGTGCTGGTTGTTGTCTAAATATTCATATACATCTTTCATTCCATAATGTTGCAAGCATAATCAGGAATGAGTCTCATGTTGATTGCATTAGAGTTTATAATTCTCTAAATACCTTCAGAGATGAAGCATCCTCAGATGAAATGTTGATGTTAATAAACTGGAAGGAATAATGTTTGTCTTTTAATAGTTGCCTTAAAACATGGGATCACTTTATCCTCCTCCCGCAGCCTTCATGCCATCAGGACTACAACTCTTTTTGGTGATTGATTAATCTCAATTGTTTCCTTCTTTAATAATGAGCTTTAAAGGCCTGCCTTCTTGATCTTCATTCTATCCGGACAGTATCATAGCCTACCAGGTGCACCCATTTTTCACCTTATAGTGCAACTGCAATTTGCTGCATTCTTGCCCACATGCCTGCCTGCCTTCTTGCCTTTCTAGAGCCATATCTCAACTTTCTCCTGAAAAATAGAATTCAAGGCAGCTCATAGTAATAAAGGAATAAAAATACAAAAAGGACATATAGTTACAAACACAGTCAAATTGAAACAGTGTTTTTAAAAAGCAAATAAAATAGATTGGCTCTTAAACTACTCGGCTTCATAGCAAATATTTAGCCTTCCTATATTAAGAAAAGATTAACCAAACCAGTCCAGAGGTCTTTGGTCAAAATCTAGGCCTCTTTCCTAGATTGCAGCCATGTGCTCAAGTAAGAACAAAAGTGGGAGCTGAAAGTGATGGCTTTCTCACAATGTGGCCTCCCTACTGTTTTTCACTAGCAGATTGCCTCTGAACATGTAGATCCAATGTAGCTGGTGCAATCATCAAAGAGTGTTATGGCTGTGTTAAAAAAAAAATCTAGCTTTATGTTTTGGACTGCAGTTCACTTCATCAGGTTCCTGGGATTCACAACTACAGGTAAATGTCTCTTCTATGAATGTGGCTGATCCCACATTAAACTCTGGTCTTTGTCTTATACGAGTTATGTAACATATGAGTAGGACCCCCTTGTGGTTCTGCTCTGGATCGCACACCACATGTACCGACCCATCTAGGAGAAATAAGCAAGAATAAGCATGATCTTCCTAGAAATGCAAAACCAGCAAGATAACTAAAACGTGAGCACACATTCTTCAGTTCCATGTTGACTATTGACCTATCATTATGATACAACAAAGGACCGATTGGTTCCAGGTCATTAGACATAGAATTTGACATTATTTTCTGCCCTTCTCTGCTTTCAGGTTTATTGGAAAATAGTGATGTCTTGTGCTCTAAACCATATGCTAATTTGCCAAATAGTAAGTGTATTTCCCCATGGAGGAGTCTGTTTATTACAGATGTCCATGTCAGCCACACTCTGTAATGGTGAGCACCAGGGAGCTTATTTGCATTTGTAATTCAGTCAATATCTGCCACACAAACAAATGTTTCCCTTGACCTGCTAAATATTTTATATCTGTAACCCTGAACAAAAAGTCACTTCATATTATTTCCCCAGAGGGTTAGGAAGGCGCCCTTGCTAAAATTCAGTTTTTGTTCTACACATATTAGATTGGGTACAAAAAAGTTAAAGCTGGACAGATCAATAGGACTGTTACTTTAGCCCAATGTCTGTAATCACACAAAGTGCTCTCGGTGGGATTTCGGAGGCTTGTTAGAGATTTAATTAAATTAGATATGTAATGCATTCAGTTAACAGATTGTGCTGCTTTGCAGTGCAATAACTAAGAAATGACATATGTATGGATTTTTATCTCTCACAGGTCATTAGTAAATGAGGTAATTACTTATTTCTGTAGGGTGCCCATAATATAGTTTTACTTCTGTGCAAAGTAGCCATATACAGTAGAGAGAATGCAGTCTGAACACTGAAGTTGTTTCCTGTCAATAGGAACTGCTTCTACCTAAACATACGTCCTTGTTTTGACATCTTAGGCAAACAGAGAAAGTTAATGTATACCATTCATTCATTTCAAATGTGTTTATACCTTGATTCAGTAAAAATATCCAGGGTGATTCACAACAGTCACTGACAATATTGAAAATATTGCACATTCCCACTGGAAGGTTATGAAAGAAATGCAGGGAAGTACAGTGTGTGGTTATGATGATAATGAAGTCTTTAAAAATCTGCTGTTCCCCTACTTCCGTCTGAGATGTAGGATCTGTGTCTGTGTATGCTTATTATTGAGCAATTTGTCATTTGTCTCTGCTTTGGCATCTGCTTGAATAAATCATCATTTATGTGAACCAAAGAAACATAATGTCTGAAGCACTGAGATCAGTATAGGAGCTAACTCTAGTTCAGTTAAAAGCACTAGCAGAAGGCAAGGTTGGTAATTTTTTTAAAAATCAGAGAAAATAAAAGTTATTTCCATTTTCTGGAAATTAAAAATATTAAATAAATATAATCAAAAGTATTAAGAGAAGTTAATTAATAAACTGGTTAACCCTCTTGTTATTATTACCTTTTATTAGTCCAATGTATATCTCACATTTCCTTTCAGAAACTCAGAATCCTTTGCCCCAGTTTCATCTGCATGGAAATCTTTCCCGGATATTTTAGGCTTAATGATG